AGAGTCCACTTTTGCCTGAAAGAAATCCAGAAAAGTAGAGCCAATATTACGAGTGTCAAAGGGACAGGGGGCATCATGAGGACGGAGCAGCCGGTTTATGGTGGAGAAGAGCTTTCTGGGTTGCTTTTGCTGGTTACCAATGAGAGTTGAGTAGTAGTGTGTTTTGGCCTTGGAGAGAGCTTCTTTATAAGACCTCACATGGTCTTTAAAGGCCTCAAGGTGGACAGTGAGGCCCGATTTTTTATAGAGCCTTTCCAGCTGGCGACCAGTGGCCTTCATGGAACGAAGTTGGGTAGTGAACCAGGGGGCAGGACGGGAGAAGGAGACAGTTCGAGTCTTAAGGGGAGCAAGAGAGTCCAGGCTGAGAGACAACGCTGTATTATAATGTGTGACTAAGCTATCCACCCCAGGTTCTGGGGGATCTGTGGCCAAGTGGGTCCCCACAGTTCTGGATAGTGATGATGTATTAACAGACTTGATGTTCCGAAAAGTGATGGTACGTTTGAGGTGAAGAGGAGAAGAGGACGGCACTGTGATCAGAGATAGCTAGATCAATGCATTGCAGCTGGGAGGGAGTGACACCAATGGAGCACACCAGATCCAGTGTATGACCTTTGGTGTGAGTGGGACCTTTAACATGCTGAATGATGTTGAGGCAGTCCAACAGTGACAGGAATTCAGCAGCAAAAGGACAGCTGCTAGAGTCGACATGAATATTGAAGTCCCCGAGCAGAAGTGTGGAAGGAGACATGGAACAGACGGAAATGAGTAGCTCTGATAGCTCGGCCATGAAGATGGTTGTTGTTTTTGGTGGGCGATAAACAAGGACCACCTGAAGCTGAGCAGGCCCAGCCAATGTAAAACAAAGACACTCAAATGAGGTGATGTTAGGCACTAACGATGGATGGCCGTCCAGGATGATTTGTTCACTCTTTTCAGCTCATGTTGTGATTTAAGCCTGTAAAGAGTGTCAGATTCCAGCTGGTCTGCACTGGTGTCCATGGAAACACTCTCAGCACCGTTTGTGGAGATTTTCCCATGAGACATTTAGGGAGTGTGTTTTTGTGTGTGTGTGTGTGTGTGTGAGTGTGTTGTGTTCTGATAGTGTGTGTGTGTGTGTGTGTGTGTGTTTGTGTGTTGTGTTTTGATTGTGTGTGTGTGTGTGTGTGTGTTTGTGTGTGTGTGTGTGTGTTTGTGTGTTGTGTTTTGATCGTGTGTGTGTGCGTTTGTGTGTTGTGTTGTGTTATGATCGTGTGTGTTGTGTTCTGATCGTGTGTGTGTGTGTGTTGTGTTCTGATCGTGTGTGTTTGTGTGTTGTGTTCTGATCGAGTGTGTGTGTGTGTGTTGTGTTCTGATCGTGTGTGTGTGTGTGTTGTGTTCTGATCGTGTGTGTGTTGTGTTCTGATCGTGTGTGTGTGTGTGTGTGTGTGTGTTTGTGTGTGTGTGTTTGTGTGTTGTGTTTTGATCGTGTGTGTGTGCGTTTGTGTGTTGTGTTGTGTTATGATCGTGTGTGTTGTGTTCTGATCGTGTGTGTGTGTGTGTTGTGTTCTGATCGTGTGTGTTTGTGTGTTGTGTTCTGATCGTGTGTGTGTGTGTGTTGTGTTCTGATCGTGTGTGTGTTGTGTTCTGATCGTGTGTGTGTGTGTGTCACAGGTGAAGTACTCTCAGAAGAAGCTGGAGGCCGTCACTGATCTCCCGAACCTGCTTCATCTGGGTCACGCGCTTCACGCCAGCAAACTCCAGAGCAACGTCAGTCTCCATCTCACACACACACTCGCTCTCGTTATAAAGCATCATTCACCGTACGAGCGCTGAGCTCTGATTGGCTGAACTGTCTGTCCGTCAGGTGGAGTACAGGAAGAAGTATGAGGCGTCTAAGGGGCGGAGCCTCGTCACCCTGGATACGGCAGAACAGCGCCACCATCAGGAGAACGCAGCGCTGCACAGTCAGGTCCCTCAGGCTGCTGATACACACTCACTATACGGGTTCATTTTAGATTGCTTTACATGAACTAACAGTGAACAATACCTCTACATCACTATCTGTTAACATTAGTTAATGCACCGTGAACTAACATTAACATTGGTTAGTAAATGTTGTAAACATGTATTGTTAGTTCATGTTAGTTAATGCAGTAACTCTTAACAAATGAGAAGTATTACTTCTATTTTAGTATCATTGAGCAACTATTATAGTTTTTATTAATAGTTGGAATCAGATTTTATTTTTATATTTTAAATTTATGGTAATATCGTTTGTGCTTTTATCATTTTTATTTGTTTTTTATTTTATATTAGTGCATCAAAAGTACACCTAAATTAAGTATTTTTTTGCAGTTAATGTTTATTTTATTTCACATGACAAAACTTTTTTATGGTTTAATTTTAGTTAACTATTATAATCTTGAATGTGAATGTGAAATATGATGCATGATGGGATTGATCTACTGTTTGATTCCTGTGATGGTCAACAGCACGTGTGTGTGTGTGTGTGTGTGCG